ATTTTAATAATTAAACAATCAAATTTGAGATTTAACTCGAATTAATAAATCTTAATTATTGAATATATATTTCATTTAGTCAATATATTCTTAAACATTTTCAAAGAATTATTTTATTCAATGATAATTATCTAATTAGAAATAATATTCATACTAGATAAATTACATTATCATTTTATTATTGATAATCTATTTAGAATTATTGATTATTAGCAACTTTTTATTGACGTTATTTTAAAATGTGCTCGACGATTTTGAAAGCAAACCTCAATTAAATATTTCTAGATTAATAATAGATTTATCATATTTATTATAATTACTCTTTTTCTTTTTTCTATAGGTTAATTAACTTGTTCAGATAATATCATTAATCATATCAATTGTTGGATAGTCATCTTCTTCAAGTGTTGATTCAAATATATTCAACTATTTTATTTTTAAATTTGAAAATCAAAAAAAAAAAAAAGGAAAAAAGAAAGAATTTTTTTGTTGTCTAATTATGCGAATAGCTGTTCTTGAGTAAACTTAATTCTTACTCGTTTTTTATAAATAATATGCATTCGAATTTGTTCATATTCATCTTGTTCATCTTCGATCGAAATGAGAATATTTATTTATATTTTACTCATTTATCTACTTTCGACATCTTTACTTCTTCGATAATTAAACATATAGAAACAAACTAAGTAAACAATCAACATTCTACACTGATTCTTGTTTTTTTTTATTTATACTTGTCCAAACAAATCAACTATTAACTTAACATTTCGATTATTATTTTATATTTATAAGTAGAATAAATAATTAGTCACATCTATTTATAGGAAATTTTTTTTGTTATTTCACATTCGTCATCAATCATTAAAATAAGATATTCAACTATTAAATGACTTCTTTTTTTTATTACAAAATAAAAGTTTATACTAAAATTTATAATAAAAAGAAAGCAGATTAACACATATAGACTAAAATACGGTAACAAATTGAATAATAGTTTAGAATCGTTTTTAGCATTGATAAGACTTTTATCGATAATTTATTTGAAACTCTATACATAGATTAAATAAGAAAAAGTCTTTCGATTGAACGTTAACTCTTTAGGCACTACTATCACCAACTATTAATCAATCTCTAATTGATCTCAATATGAATGTGACTATTCAAGCAACTTAAATATTTTATCATAAACTTCAAATAATATAAACTAACAACTTCAGCTTATTTAATTATTTTATGTAAACAGCTCGAACATATAATAGATCGTCTAGATCATTGATGATCTCATCTTAAACAAGATTTCTATGATGTTTTATTGAAAAAAACTAATTCTTATAATTAATCATCTTGATTGATCTTTAAAGAATTATTGAATTTATCTTTTCATTTAATCATTTCTTTAACTTCATTTATTTAAAGACTTCGAGTTATATCCGATTTTAATTGAAAATTTTTTCGCATTAAATCAAATCAATTTTTATTTTTTCATTATTCTTTCATTTAACGAAAAGATTTTTTCAAAGGATAGAACTCAAACATAACAACAAATAAAAGTCAATTTCATATGAAGTGAAATCTCATTGAAAACAACATTTAACAATGTAACTCATTATTTATAATAATTATAATATACTTTAAAACAATAGAAAATTTCAAAATTTAACAAATATAATTCTCTACTTCTATGCATTAGTCAATCAGAACATTTTTTCTCTATTAGACTTTGTGGAAATATCTATGATCATCATCAAATCAAAAAAATTTTTACTTTGACAAATAAATGACGATGCTACGATCAATATACAGAAAAAAAACAAGCACTGATAATCGAACCAGGGCATTCTTCAGTATAAAAATCCTATCACTATAATATATTTCTCAAATTTTAAATAATTATTTTTACTTCAATGATCAACAAAGACAACTTGACAATATATGATAGATGAGAAGATATATGAGATGAATAAAATTACATAATTACAATATAGAAAATCGTTTTTTCTTTTCAATTTTTCGAATTTTCCACGAACACCATTCATTATGCTCTGAACGGCTTTCAAATCAATTTTTTCCTATGTCTTTTGATTCTGTTGACCAATTGCTTTTGATTGATAGTCGTCCAACCTCTCTTGTACATCTTATCAGCTAACATTAACCGAAAATCTTCGATGGGTCTACCTTTTTAAACATTCACCGGATTGATCGATCTCCTCACCAGGGACATCTTTTGTTCAATTTATCGCGTCAATGGTGTTCATTGATAAATTTCAACAATTTTTGTAAGCATTTTTCAATATATATATAAAGGGTGCGTTATAAGTTCTGATTCCCTTCATGTAATACGCTTTTCCTATATATTTTTTCAGTAGAATAGGCTGATATTTGCAGCATATATACTAGACATCCAGATCTATTCTATACTAAAATTTCAGCTTTCTATCCCTTATGGTTATGGAGATTCAATATGACATGAAGGGTGTGTCATAAGTTCTGATCTCCTTTGTGTAATGTACTTCTGCTACATGTTTTTTTTCAGTAGAATAGGCTGATATTTGCAGCATATATACTAGACATCTAGATCTATTCTAAACTAAAATTTCAGCTTTCTATCCCTTATGATTATGGAGATACAATATGACATAAGAATTAATGAAAATTTTTGATTTATACAAGATAGGTAGTTATCCGAAGTAAAAATTGAATATCTCCATTAGGGCTCGAGTAAACGAGCTGATTTTTTTATCATTGATAGAAGCATGTTCAAGCTTTGTATCCATAAAGACATGTCTAGACAAATTCTTTATTAAGTATCGCTATTGAGTTCAACAAGAAGAGTTTTACTTTTTGACAGATAGGAAAGAACAACCAAGTATTTGTCCAGGCATATCTTTATGGATATAAAGCTTGAACATGCTTCTATCAATGATAAAAAAATCAGCTCGTTTACTCGAGCCCTAATGGAGATATTCAATTTTTACTTCGGATAACTACCTATCTTGTATAAATCAAAAATTTTCATTAATTCTTATGTCATATTGTATCTCCATAATCATAAGGGATAGAAAGCTGAAATTTTAGTGTAGAATGGATCTAGATGTCTAGTATATATGCTGCAAATATCAGCCTATTCGACTGAAAAAATATATAGGAAAAGCGTATTACATGAAGGGAATCAGAACTTATGACACACCCTTTATATATATATATCGGCATTTATTGGTGGATCTTTTGTCGTTCCGAAATATGATTTTGAAATGTCTTTGCTAAATAATGTCAACCAAATCAAGATTTTGGATGCAAATTCTTGTTTGAATTTGAACTTCACGTCGGATGGAGTGTCTCTTTCATTAAACGAGTAAAATCTAGTATTTTTTGAGCAAATCATCATCCGAAAACGTAAAGTATTTCTTGTCGTCGACAATGATGAATGTTTCATGATTTATCATATTTCTCAACGTAGTTTTCTATATTTGCTTGGTATTTATTCAAGTTGTTGTAGATTGTATTTAGGTGGAGGTTGTCTCTTCTAATATTTTAAATCTAATTTATTCAAATTTCGTCGAACACACGATTGTGAGACCTTAAATTTCCTTTGATTAATGTCAACACGATTTTTGATCGAATCTTTCAATTTTGATTGTTGCTTCTTATTCAGTTTGTATAGACGTCATTTTCTTAGCTTGTCCTTACATGATAGACCACTCTCTAAAACGTTTGATGATACGATAAATAGTTGAACTTGAAATATTCTCCAATAATTATTTATAAAGAGAATGAAACAAGATACAGACTAGTATAAAAATGGGGAATCAATTCAAGCGTTTAGGTCGCTTGTTTTCAGTTGACAATTTGTCTCAAAAGTTTCGACTCATCCATTAATAAAGTTATTTTCTACTGAAAACAATAATCATTTTAATAAATTGTTCATTTTTTCAGTTAGAAAGAAAATAAATATCTTGAGAATATTTGTTATGTTATTCTATATCGTTGATGTTTTATCTTTGAATAAATATATATATTTTTACTAAAGAACTTCGAGTAAATCCATAATGTGAATCATGATTATTTTTATTTACTTGGAATTATTTTTGATTGAAGAAGACGATCAATTCTAATAACTAAATCTTATTTGAGAAAAGAATAAATCCCAACGAGACGATTATATAAGATAATAATTTATTTTTCTATATGAAATAATTCAAGTATATTTCAATAGGGTAAACAACAAAGATTTCAATCTTTAAGTCTAATTAAGTCTTTTTAAGTTATCTAAATTCTGGTGTTACTAGTTGATAACTTTTATACTATTGATTCATGTTTTATATAATAAATCCATAAAATATTTTTCTTTTTTGGTTCTGATCAACCTTACATCACTGTTCGATGTGATTTTTCTCTAACATACTTCAGTTTTTTTACGTATTTAGAAGGAATTTTCTTAAATTATTTCTAAGAGTTCTACCACAAATAAAAATAAAACGTCGAATAAGAAAAAGTTTAAATAATTTCTTGAACTATTTTATAGATATTAATGATAATGATTAGTTCGAAATAAATCTATTGACTTTTAATATCAATTAAATATTAACTTAGTTATATATAATTGATCATTCTGCTTTGAAGATTAATCGTTCGAAATGATTATTCAAATTTACATAAATTAAACTCAAAATAAATATACAAGATAAAGATTTGTTTACCATTTCAATAATTAATTCATAAGAGATTTTCATCAACATTAAAATAAATCTTCGAATTATTCTATAATCGAATCAATACAAAATTCATATTCATAGAAGGAATTTTCTCCATGAGACTGAACATTTTTCATAACAATATAAATACATCATTCTTTCATTTAAAAATAGTAAAATATGAAATAGTTTAAATATTTTCTTTAATAAAACTATTTCGTGTTTTTTTTTCTGACAATAATCACATAGAACAAGTTTATTTTAGCCTAGAAGACGGACAATGACAATCATTTTATCATATATGATAAATTAACGTCCACGACTACCACCACCACCAGAACCTCCTCGACCACGTCCACGACCACGGCCTCTTCCACGAACACCTCTACTACCCATACCAACTGGACCTAAATAAATAAATAAATAAACAAATATATATATATATATATATAGAATGATTTTAAATAAATAATCGAAACCAGGTCTTTCACGTTTCGTTTTAGTTTTTGGTGTATCATCAACAAGTAATGTATCTAACGGAAGACTATCCGGTAATATAAAATACCGAATATTATTGCCTAAAAGAAAAAAAAAATTTTTTTCATTAATTATTCATCTCGAACTTTTTTTTTCTTTTATAAAACAAACCTCGAATAGTAATAAATTCTAATGAAATAGGTTCACCATTTTTTGGTGTTAATTTAGCTGATTTTAAATGTGTATTCATTGACATATCAACACCAATAACTGTACCAAAGACATTTGAACCATTTTTTAATGATACTGTTACACTTTCATGAGTTAATTTCATAAGAAAACGAACAAGTTTCATTTTATCAAATCAGATATATAAAATGAATCTTTGTCTAAGAAAAAAATAAAGAAGAAACACAACTAAAATTCAATTATATCAATGGAGATATTTTAACTAATCAAATTGAATTTTTTATTTTCTACCTCTATCTTAAATAAAAACAAAGCGGCATCTAGAATAAAAATCTTACTAAAAATAGAAAGTTCTTACATTGTTAGTTAGTCATTCTTTTATATATTGATATTATATAATATATTTAGATCAGAAAATAACCTTGATTTATATTCAAATTTGCTTAGTGATAGATTGACAAGGTTAGAGATATATTTTATAGATCAAATTATCTATAAACTTCTCTTAAGTTAATTATTAGATAAAGAAAAGAAACTCGTTGAGATATTAAATCAATTTGTTTCATTAAACAAATTTAATCGTTATATAGGTTTTTTTTTGTTTATATTCAGATTTCGAAAGAAAAATCAATATTTAATATGGTATATTTCTATAATAAAGTTCAATTAATATATTGAATTTTATTGATTTTATTGCAGTCTTATAACTCTATTCGATAATGTTGTTTAATACTTGTCTCTAAATTAAAATTAAAAGAAAGTTTTTATTAAAAAGATTATATATTGACTTCTCAAGATAATATAGAAATCAATTGAATTATTTCTATAAGAGTTATTTTTATTGGAAAGAAGAAAAGTTCAAATGAGATTATTCAAATAAAGTTATTTTAGTTAATAATAATTGTATGTACAAATTGACATTTGAGCCGTTACAAATAATTTCATGAGATTACCATCTATAGACCATTCAACAATATATTTAACGATTCAAGAATATAATAATAAAGATTTTCATTTATAAAAACCATGCCAGATCGAACAAGCTCGATTGTAAATGACTGTTAATGATTGTATATTACTGTATTATATCGATCAATATTACAATTTGATTTCGTCGTATATAAAAAGCTGGTCATATGCGATGAAATTCGAAGTCTATAGAGATATCGTATTGCTCATCATAGGACATTATTCCTCGCTTAATCAGTATTGTAATGCATAGATACTCTTTTTTAATTATCGTAAATAATCATTTGTACCGTTGTTAGTATAGGTATGAGATACTAATTTCAATAATAGTTACCATTTGAAAGAATTGTTAACCAGTCGACAATTTTCGAACTGGTCTCATCCGATCGATTCAAAAAATATTTTAGACTGATAAAAATCTGCTAAAACTGACCGGTTTGTTCGATCATTATTAATCGATTAATAGGAATGGCTTCAAAAAAAAACCTCATTTTTCAATTTTACGATTAGGTTTTTAGAAATCGTTGAGGAAGATATATCACGATAAAGTCGTTTATATTGGTTAAATTTTTTAACAGATAAATATTTCATATTGATATATATTAGCATGAAAAAACGATGTCATTTTTCCATGAACTTATTGATAAACTGGAAATCTTGAATAATCTCACATAAGATTTCTCATATAAACATGTAGTTTATCGTGAAATAACAATCGAAATATATATTTTATATTTATGAAAACATATTTTTTCATAGATAGATCAATTGAAATAATATAAATGAAGAATATTTATCGACTGTAGTTTTACTCGAAATAAATTCTTAATTATCTTAAAAAGTTAATATTTTTCTTTTTGGTAAAATAAATAGATTATGATAAACTTCTTCTATTTTCAATATGAAAATCTTTTATAAAAAAAAGTCTAATTATTTTATTGAAGAAAAAATCTTTTTTATTTGTTATTGTTAATAATATAATATAATATAATTATGATTATTGATGCAATGATTAAGTTCAGTGAAAATTAGTTTAATTCTATGTTGAAAATGTAAAAAGGTGTTTGTTAGAATTAAAAATAAAATAAGATATTTTTATTGAAGGATTTTTTGAATATGATTATTTTCTTGTTCAATATAAATGGTTGATTTGTTAATATGATCATTTATATGATTAAGTTTATTAGATTGTTCAATTAATTGATAATTTATATGTTGAGCTTTATCCTTTAAACGACATATAACATTTTCAATATCATTAAATCTTTCATCAATTATTCTTTCTGATAAATTAATATTATCTTCAATTGATCTTGAACATGATTCTCTCTAATATAACAAAAAATAACAATAAGATTTTTTTTTAATTTTTTAGATTTTTAAAAAAAATATGTCAATTTACTCTTTGTTGTAATGTTGATGATAATGATTTTCGTTGGTTTTTTGAATAAAAAATAAATTTCGAATATATTTTTCGATGAAATTTAATATTAAATCTGTGAATAATTGTTTCTGTTATTGTTTTTAAACGATTAATATGTTGTTTTGTATGAATAAGTGTTTTATCAATTGATGATATATGTGAATTAATATATTCTAATTGTTGATCTTGATCATCTAATCTTAGAATTGTTTCAATAGCTATTGTTTCAGCGTCAATACATAAACATTTTATTTGATTTGTTCTTTCAATAAGATTTTTTTTTATTTCTCCTTCCATATTTAAATCACTATTTCAATCATATATAACATTGTTTCAACAATTTCTATTTTAACGTGATAAAAAGAAAAAAAAACAAAGAAATTTTCATTGACATATGTCTTCCTTTTTTTTATAATGCAAATAGAAGATAAACATATTCATTATGATTATTTTTTTTTCTCTTTTATTATATATGATCAAATAAGAGAATAACTAATTATTATTATATACCAATGACGCAGATATAATCATAGATAAATATCATCTTCAGGGGTATCCCCACAGCGAGAGAGAGTGGGAGGTGACCCCTTCTCCCCCCCCCCCCCCAATCCTGAAAAATGTTCGTTTTTTCATGGCAAAATTTACTTTTTTTTCGTTTTTTTGCTCAACAATTTACAAAAAAAGGCTTGTATCCCTCCCCCTCCAAAGTTCGGTCATCTTTAGAAAATTTTTTTTAACGACTTTCTATGTTATCGACCTCCCCTTTCCCCCAATTTTTCCGACTTCGAAACACCCATGATCATCTTATTTAAGGAAAATCCATCATCCATTAAATTGTTTTTTATCTAGGAACATTTCTCTATGTAGCTAAGGATAAATTTCGAACGTTATTAAACCTATTTATGGTACATATAAATACCTTTATTTTTGATAAACATTTTAATCAATATGAAAAAAAAGAAAAGAAATATTGACTTCATTATTCTAACTGTCGAAAGATCGTAAAAGTAACCGAATTGGAAAATTCAATGAATTAAAATAATAAATTGTAAGGTGACTAATGACTGTCAATTTCGGTTAAAGATCAATTATCTTTTATTGTGCAGTTATTTAAGTGTTTTTTTAAAAATATTTTTCAATCTAATTTTATTATAAAAATGTTAGTTAATATAATCAACTTTGATTTATTTTGAAGGTAAATTATTAAAAAAAATTCATTTATAAATTAATTCAGATTTAATTGTGAAATATTTATCTTCTTTTTATTTTTATTAGAGTTCGTATAATTAAATCAACTCCAGAATTGATTCCTTCTTTATAGAATTAGAGGATAGAAACGGATTTTTTCCTCGATATTGATTGAAGCTCTTTGTTAGATATCTACCTATTTAATGACATAAACATTTTTTATTAATAGTTGAAAATAAAAGATTTTTTTGATTTAGAAGAGAATATACATCCTATGATTTACAAGTTTTAAATAAAGTTTATTGAAAATAAAACTGATTATTGTTTATCTAATCAGTTAATATCTTATATAAAATGATATATCAACCAGTAACAAAACTATTTTAGTTCGAGAAGATTTTATAAAAACAAAGTTAAAATAGTTTTCTATAGATAGAAAGATGCATGTCATATCATAGTTACTAATCTATAGAATGAGCAGATTCATGTTCTCTCCCATATAAAGAATCTTTCTGCCTAATAGATAAATATATAATTTGTCAATAGAGACTAATAGGGACTTTTTTTCTATTTGATTTTGTCAATAATATTTATCAGGCAATGTCAAAACTAAAAATAAATAAGGCATGTTTTTTTACTTAAATATAACTTAAATGTTATGATTTTTTAAAAATAATTATTAGTAAATATATATATTATAGAATGATTGATATCGAGTTGACATAAATATTCTCTAAAGATAAATATTTTTTTTATTAAAGATAAAATCGATTTTGAAAATTTAAGAAGCTAATTTATATAAATATATTTATCGTAAATTAAATCTCATTATATTAATTGAAATTTTTTTCTTATTTTCATAAATTATTCTATTAATTATTTAGAAATTGAATCATAGTCAACTGTTTGTTAATAATATAAAATGATGAACTTTTATTATGCTAATCTTAATATATAATCAATAAATATGAAAATTTTACTAAATAAATATCTAACATTCATATTAAAAGTTTAACTATATTTCATTTGAAATTATTGATTAAATTGTTTATCAATTGTTTCGATATTCTTCAATAACTAACTAACAAGTCAATCTGTTTAACAGATTTTTATCAATGACAATACTCAAATATATACTTATATTTAATCTATATAATCAATTTAAATATAACTATCATGTCTCTTATTTTTTGATAAATTATCAAACTAGAACATTTTTTATGTTTTTTATATTTTCATTTTGTTTTTATATCTAGAGAAAATTTTAAAAAATCGAAATGAATTTCTTTATTTCTTTTTATATTCGAAACTTAAAAAAATGGCTAAAGAATACGAACGATTGATCTATAAATAACAAAATCATCAAAGTGTAACGAGTGAGCACGTATGCGTACTTTCAAATAAAAAATCCAATCGATCTTTACCGCACCTTAATTCGAAATATGACTGAAAATGAACATTTTCTTTTCTCGTTTTTTTTTCTTCTTAACAAGCATATTATACAAGTTGATCACAACTTGATATTATAAAATAGAAAAACCTTATTTTAGGAATCGAAAACATTAAATAAATAATGGAAGAAAATAATTCTTATACTTATGATGATCATCAAACAAAAAATCGAAATGAAGGACATGAAAAACACGAAACATATTGTAAGGATATTAAATTAATTAAATATATCTATAAAACAAAAAACAAAAAAAAAATTGTTTTTTTTTTTCAATTTTAGCTTATATCGAATCAGATTCTATTGATCATTTTTCTATTGAACGTCATCCACAAGAAGAAACTCTTTCAAGAACAAGTCAATCTTTTATTCAATCAGTCGGTATACCCATTATTATACCAAAACCAAATTTAAATAAATCAGCTCCTATACAAACAACAGTTTCACTTCATTCTTTTTCAAGTATTGATTCATCAGCTGAAATGGCTAAATACTTTCCTGATGCTCAGACACCTTCTTTATCACCATTTAGGTATAATCAATAATTTCTTGGACTTTTTTTTATCAGAAATTTATTTAATAAATATTGATTGATTTTATTGATTAAATAGACATCATCAAGAAGATTCAAATCAACAGATACAATCAACGGTAACAACAATAACACATGCTATTACAGATAATAGCACTATCAAATCAGGTCCTTATGCAATACCATCAGCTCCAATAACCGTACAACAATCACTCGCTCAACCTATTCGACCTTCAACTGTAGTAGAACACTCTGTTCAAACACCAGTTGAAACAAAAGTTTTATCAGGTATTCCAAGTTATTCATCACAAATAGAAGGATTATCTATTCCACAAGCTATTGTTAATGATGTTATTGTTGATCTTCAAACAAAAGTTCTCAATGAATCTCAACAACAATATTATAGCGATTCATCAACTCAAAACTATTATGGTTTAGATTTTTGACTTTTTTTTTTGTTCTATCTTATCTAAATAAAAATCGAATTTTTTAGAATCACTTTTTCCGATTTATATTCGATCACCAAATCCAACTATTATTCTTCGATCGGATCTTCCTCGTCTCCGTCATACACTTATTCCTGATCGACCAGGTTACATTTATCTAACAAAATAAAAAAAAATCTTTTCAATTTAGAAAAAAAAATCTTTTGTCTTTTTTTTTGTTATAGTGATCGTTGGTCCTCTTCAAGGTAAAAATCAATCTAAACAAAATCCATATAAACTATCTAGTTTTCCACCTCCTCCGCAATAACATTATTCATCAGGTATTTTATCATTTAATAACTAACTAATTATCTTTGTTAATATATCGCTTTTTTTTTAAATCTATATTTTAAGAAAACAAGAAAGAATATCGAAATCCAACATAGATCAATATATAGATTCTAACTGACAACAACCTTTATTCAAACATAACAACTTTAATATATCCTTCGACTTCTATTTATTCTTGAAAACGAACATGTTTTCTTTTGTTCTTTTTACTGCTAGATGCATATGTCATTATATTCTATTGTTCACATTAAAATAAAGTTGTAGTCTATATTATACACACACAAAGACAGTTTTCTATAGAAGAAAACCTTGAGAACGAAAATAAAGTTTTGTTATTTACAACAATAGATCCTTGGATTAGAAATGATTTATTTATGTTCAGTCGTTGATATCAGACGATATCGACACATCAAGAACATAAATATTTAACAAAAAAAAGAAAAAAACACAAAATGATTTTATAATCTGTTTCTATCAGTCATGATCAATGTCGATTATATCAATGACAATAGTCAATAATAAGCAAATTTTTTTCAAGGTTTAGTCATCACGTCAATTCATCGTTAGACCTTAACCATATCAGTTTAGTTAGTTTTGTCCGATTACGTAGACTATTGGCAATAATAAGAGCAATATATTAACAAAGATTATCTTTAGAATTTACCTTTTAAATTAATCAAATATCGAAGATAATATTAATCGTCGAACATGTTTTCAAGACCTATTCGTCGAGAACAACAAATATCCAATGCATTTGATGATTGCATACGTCGATGTATTAAAAATCATCGTTGTCGACCAATTCAACAACGATCTACAAGACCAAAAAGGCGACAAAACATAAATGAAGAGCCCTTTCATTATCAACAATATAAAATTTTACCTTATCAAACATCATCAACATCATCACATCATTCAAATCTAATTGAAAATTTACCAATATATAATACATCGATTGAACCAACTAATATTATACTTCCAACAGAAACAAAAGTCAATCCTCATTTGACTAATATCATTCAACAACCACAAATATCTAATCAATTAAATAACTCTCAAAATATTTATCTTCAACCATCTCAAACAATAACAAATACCAATTCATATACTCAATATCCACTACCAATATATCATTCATGTGATTCATATATTAACAATCAACAATTATCTTTTCCTTCTTCTTCTTCTTCTTCTATACCAATTGATACAATTGAAAATGGAAGAGAAACACATTATTCTCAATTACCTACATTAAATCAATCAAATAATATTTCGTATTTAACACCAATAGATTCTTCAAATAATCAGACATATGCTTATGACAATTATTTTCAACCAGAAATAAGAGAAAAATATCATGAAAACATTTCTAACAATCATCAGATTTATCCACAACAATCATCATTACAATTCTATGAACAAAATCAACAGAATTATATCGAACAAGCTAATCTTAATCAACCATTTCTACTTCCACCAATAATTAAACAAATTGATAAACAAGAAGAGTATACTCCGAAATGTCATTGTTCTACTTCGACATGTCATTGTTCTAGTTCAAGTATATCATCTCCAACACCAACCAATCATTATGTTGATGACAATTATACAGAAAATGAACAATTATGTGATTTACCTAAATGTGTTTCTCGATGTTATGATAAATTTAGACGTTTATGGATAAAAGATCAACAAGAAAGATATGAAAAACAATTTGATGATGTTAAACAACCAACTAGACATAATTATATTCAACAAATTCAACGACCAATATCAAAATATGTTCAACCTAGTTTTCGAAAACAAAAATCATTATCACTTCCTCATTATATGCAACAACCAAGTCTACAGACAGATATTCGACAGATCGGACAACCAATATCAACATTAAATAGAACACCTTTTATTCAACAAATAACATCAACAAATATTTCAACAGATCCAAATGAACAACAATTTATCGAATATGGATCACCAATTATAACTCAAACGCCTCAATGTGTTCTTTCTTTATCAAAATCAGCACCTTTACCATCTCATTATTCTAGTAAACCAAATGAAATAACAGTTCATAATCAACTTACACCTACTTCTCTTCAATTGCAACATTCACAACATCTACCAATCATTCCACAAAAACCTTTTCAAATCCAACAATATGAAAATATTTGTTATCCAAAATTCCAACAACCATATCAAAGACAATATAAAACAAATATTCCACGGCCATTTATCCAACAAAGAAAACCTCGAAAAAACGTTCTATCCGATCAAAGACGATCACCAATAACAATATCTAAAGTAGCGTCAGCTCCTTTATATAATAATAATAATCTATGTCAAACAGCTCAACACCTTCCTTATTTTGATAAAAAAACCGGACTTTCTTTTCAACCTCCTCCTATATCAACCAAATATACTCATTTGCCAAATCATCTTCGACCACAATTATCCTCTGGTGGAATTCCACGATCAAGTTTTCTTTCAACGCCACTACAAGCGCAACCACTCCCACCACAACTGCGACCACTCCCATCACAAGCGCAACCACTCCCACCACAACTGCGACCACTCCCACCACAAGCGCAACCACTCCCACCACAACTGCGACCACTCCCACCACAAGCGCGATCATCACTACCGCCACCGCCACCATCACCGCAACTATTACCACCACGAGCACGATCATCACGACCACCGCCGTCGCAACTACTACCCCAACGAGCACGACCATCACTATCGGCACAACCACCACCACCACCGCGACAATTTCCACCACGAGCACGATTATCACTACCAGTACGAGCAGGTGATCAAAGAAAAGAATGGTGTGGTAAATGTTGCTGTGGACCAGAAAAATCTCTGCTTAAAAAAGTTGTTTATAAACAAATCGATGGTTAATTATTGTTATTCTATGAATATTTTTTTTTGTGTTAAGATTGTTATTTTGATTTATTTTAGATGATAAACAACATGAAAAAGATTCGTTTATTGATTATGGTTCAGTTTTTGATAAACTGGAAACACGTATCACTGTTCGATGTGGAAATGATATAATGAAAGAAGGAGATGAAAAAACATTTACTTATGGTAAGATATTAATTTATTTTCTATGGAAATAAACATTCGATTTTCATTTTTTCAGATAAATATAATGAAAAATTGCGTATTATTGATATTCCTGTTGGTCTATCGGGAAAAAGTGATGATAGTGACAGCAATTCTAATGAAAATTTGCGTATTATTGATTTTCCTGTTGGTCTATCAGGAAAAGCTAATAAGAGTAACATTAATTATACGATATAATTCACATTTTTCCTTTTTATTTTTTACTTTGTGTTTTTATCGCATAAAGACATTTGATCTTGCTTGTCTTTTGCTTTTAGTTCAATTGAAAATGTTACATTCTATATATCATTTTATTATGCAGACTCGACTTTTTTTTCATATTGATAGAATAGAAAAAAGAATTTTACTTTATTTTTTTTTTCTTAACTTTAATTTCAATAGTTTTCTTCAAAATAAACTAATTTTTTTTTGTCTTCTAAATTTTCAAATGAAATAATTAAATTCAAGAATTAATCGACTAATAATATGATAAACTATTAGGAAAATTTGTCATAAAATTATAAAATACCTTTAACAAATATGAAATTTTATTTATCTAATATTTAATTTACAGACAAAAAAAAACAATAAATCAATATAATATGTTATCTACTTTAATATAATCAACAAATAATTGTTTAGATAATTTCATCGACTAAATATAAATAATAATGAACAACCAATTAATGTAAATAAACAAGTAAGAGGATAAACAAATAATAAATGTTTTTGTTGACCAAGAGGAATAGTTACAGTTAATTCTCTAGGTGATTCAATACCTGTTTCAGTTAATGGTGGTGGACAACCAGAACCTAAATAAGGACATGCTTTTTTTGTAAAATGTATAACTGGTTCAGGTAAATAAACTGTTTCATATTGTTGATTATCATCAGATTTTGGATCTATATATCGATTATGAATATTTATTGAAAATGTTTTACTATGACGATATGGAATTTTAGAAGAATTATATAATATAAAACAATATGCAAATGGATGTGATTGAGATGATGATCTTTCAATATTTATTGAGCCAATTATAGTAGCATTTAATTGATAAAGTTCTTCAGGTTCAATATATAAATAAGGAGGTAAACGATGCCAAACAAATAAACATTGACTATCCATTGTTAAATCAGGATCAATTCGATATTCAAGGTGTGTATGAAAACCATTTGTTTTATAACGGCTACTTACACCAGGTGACGAATAAATTATATTAGGAAACAATATAACATATATTATTAATGATATAAATAACATTTTCATCGAATTTATCAATCAAACAATATATATTGGTTAACTTTTCATATTCATATTTAAATTTCAGTTTGATTGGAATAAGATTTTTAACCATAGAATAAACTATCATCATAGATGTCACTAAGAATAAATATTAACTAGATTTATTTTGTTATCATTATATATCAATCAATATTCAATCTGTTCATCTTAGACATTTAGAATATATATCACTCTTCAATTCGATTGACTTATACATATAAGAAAACTCTTCCGATTATAGACAATTAAAGAAATAAACATCGAAATTCATAATTAACTATTGAAGATAAACATGAAAATATTATCCAAATAAAAAATATAAAAAAATGATTATTGAAAAATATTCTTTCTTTCTTTCTTTCTTTCTTTCTTTAAATAAAATTAATTAACAATCAATTAACAAACATTTCGATCCATGTCAAAAATCTCAATCTATTCTCAGATCTATCATTTTATCATTCTTCTTCTATTATAATTTAGTACTTTTCTAGATCGATATATGTTTCCACAGAAGGAACATTAACTACGAAGAGATGATTATAAATATTCCATTTAGTGAATGAAATATTATGTTAAATCTAATATCGGTTCTCAATTGTACGTTTTGCGTAAGAAATAATCAAGCTCATTTAACCATTGTGTAAAAAGTCTTCATACAAAAGTATTTTTCTTCTTTCATTTCAACTTGTAACTTTTATTTTTCGTTCTTTATATCAATCAAGAGTACCAACAATACAAAATAAAAAATTAACGAGAACAAGCCTCATAGGATCCTTTATCGGTAATTTTTCGAAGCTGTTTGCGTATCTTCGAAAACATAGCTTGGACAACTTTGATATCAACTTCTTTTTATTTCTTTTCTATTGTTCTCCTCAGTTGATCTATTGTTTTCGCTTCCCAACCATCCTCGTACACCATATCAACCAGTATTGACCACAATGTTTTGACTGGGCGAGACTGCCGACAGTTTGAAGGATTCCATTGTCAATGCACGAATTCTAGTCCATTATCATCAAAGTACTGTGTTACATTATAACCATAATGACTCGAAGCTAAGTCAGACGAAAACAACACTTTTTTTTTATTGTGATAGCCTTCAATGAAAGGCATTAAACGTGCTATAATACATTCCTTCAAATATGTTGCTTCATTAATTGGTTATTGTTGTTTTGCAAAAAATACTTCTCAAATTCCATTTTCAAATAAAGCAATTCAAACTAGTGTTTTTAGTTCATATTTTTGACTTCTTCTGAATTTTATTTCTGATGGTGTAATATTTTTGTCCGACATATAAAAGTCACGATTAGTTGCTATAGATTCACTGTACAACAAGAACTACTTTTCATCATTCATCACCAACTCAAAATCATCATTCGACAATAGACGATATAATCGACGTGCATGAATGAGAGCTTCTTGAAGTTGTTTTTCAATATATATCGGCGCTCGTTTTCTTTTGTAATAGCTGATACCCATAGGTTTTAAATGATTACCAATTGTTTTGAAACGGACTTTGAATTTGGGAGCTATTTTACGGAAAGAAATTCCAGTCTTATGGTTGACCAGTCTTTTGAGTCGTATTAATTGCCCATTCGATAGCTTCTTTGGACGACCAGATCTGGATTTGTCACCGATATCACCAGACTCTTCATATTTCTTAATTATACTGTAGATAGTTTGTTGAGGAAGTTTCTCTTCTAGAAAGTGATTAATAGTAATGCTTTTATGTCTGTTTGCTATGCTAATATAGTGTTGTACAATTCGTTTTTGCAGATGTTTTCTATCTGAACATGTCATATATACAAAAGAAAACATAGATATCAACAATTTTATATCAAACTGAACCTCTTTCAATACTCTATCAATTGATGTATAGAAGTAACAGGATCAATTAATTCTACGCGAGAAATATCTGTAGCAAATTTGTACGAAGACTTTTTACACAAGGATTATCATGAAATTTTGTTCCCTAGTCAATTCTCTCAAGTTACCAATCTAGATCATGAATCTAAAATATTTGAGCGTTTATGTGGTTATATTCCTTGTGTGGTTTTCTTTCAAAAAGAGCAGCAATCTAAGTATCAATTTCTTATTATTTTTGTTAATATCGACATTGTATGCATATTTTAAGCTAAACTATTGAAAACAATGAGTGTATTGTGACCATGTGATCAAATTAAATAAAATTCATTGATATTCCGGTCATTGTTATTTTTTTAAAGAAAACCATTTATTGAATATTATCACACAAATGTTCAGATATTTCAGATTCGTGAGCTAAGTTGGTAACTTACGAGAGTTTACTAGGAAATTAATCTTCATTATGACAATGAATCTATTACTGTTAGATTAACAATTATCGATAGACTGGTAAATATCCATAACTAGAAAGCGGTCCGATGGATGGTATAAACTCTCGATCCTTCCATTCTCTACACAGATTGTGAAAGAAAATTCTATTAATTAACTCAATAATTAATTAATTGATATATAATTAATATCTCATTAATATTCCATTAGTAACACATTCCTTGATGAACGTGAGAAACAAGCCGAGATAATCTCATCACTTGTGCGAGATGTTCTTGATACACAATTGAAAATCGTACACCAATAACACATTATCATAATATATAATTTACTTTTTGATTCCACTTCTGAAGAGCTATGTAAAGGCATGACTTATGTGCCGCAAAACAGATAGATTAAAATGAAAGCTTTGTGGACAAAACCAGTAGCTACATTGTATTTCACATTTTAATTCTGCAGAGATTGCATTAATAGTCTTTTTTCTACAGTGTATCGAGAAGATTGGTACTCGTACTCAAGAAAGTGTATACTTGCCCAGTTCTGCAATAGACTTGAATGATCATACAAATTTTCCACTGGAGATATGCAATAATGATCTTCACTTTATTCTACTGAAGAAGAAATCCAAAACAGTTGCTACGACTGTCCATGTGTCGATAAAAAACGTTGGTGTATGTTCACATCGATCAGCTGCTATATGGTTTTTGGGATACCAATGTCATCGCAACGATACTGCGACAACTCAACCATCTGGCTTCTATTTGAAATTTCTTGATAAGAGTGAGTTGGTAGAAGACTTTGTTGAATCGTCCGATGAAGACGATGGTATTTAATATTCTCCTTCATGATGAAAAAATTAATAAAAAGAATAACAACTGTTGATGATACCCTTGAACCTTATAATAATCTATATAGAAATTTACAATAACATTTCATTTTATGATTATAGTTCATAAAACATATCAACAATGTACAAATTCTAATATGTGAGAGTCTTCAGATAGCGAAAAACATGAAAGCGTTGGTCGTCCACTATGACAGACAGATCCAGAACCATTAAGTCAAACAAAAACAAAAGTGATACTGTGAAGTAAGAATTTCTTACTAATGCATTAAACAACGCTCGACAAACCCCGTTTTGTGTCCAACCTATGATACTATACGAATTGTCCTTCTATAGCTTTTCTTATACACCTCTGACCTATTACGTTCCTTTGTTTCTCTATAGAGTGGTGGACCTTTTAGACATTGCTTGTTAACAATAATATACTTCCTTCTCTATTTACGATGATATCGCAAGATAACAAACCACAAGACAGAATTTTTTGCAGATACTTATCTTAGCCATTTTCTAGCTCTTGACAATTGATATTGATACTGAAAAAATGTCTCGAGTTTTTAACCGTAGGTTCGAGATCCAAGATACGTACGGATTGGTGAAAGTTGAGCACGGAAAGTTAAGTACGGAAAGTTGAACACAGAGAAAGATAAGCACGGAAAGATAAGCACAAGGAAAGTTCAGCACCAGAAAGTTGAGCACGAAAATGGAAATTAATTTCGACATGGCGTTAATGGGCAAACGAATGCTGAGTGTAGGTGTAGGTGGGGAAAGGAGTGTAGAGATGGTAGGTACAAGTGAGTGCAGGTGAGGATGGGAAAGTGGGTGCCGGTAGAATGGACAGTTGGGTAGAGGTAGACATGTGAGGGTCGGTAAGGTAGCCGAGTGGTTATGAATGTACGTCGATGGACGGGTGTATATATGGATGTGAATAGGGATCAAGTTGTTATATAAGATTCACCAAAGTCAAAGTTTCCACACCATTTTTTTTT